CTTTGGGACACAAAGAGCCGTCTCCTCGTTGAGTTTTCCACCAGCACGTGCAGCGGTACCTCTTGGTTTGCAGTGTGGCTGCATCACGATCTGCTGCCACAGAAAAACCTTTTCTGTGTTTACATGATTTAGTCTGTTTCATCAGCCTGCCGGAGCCGGCAGGTTTGGTGCACTGGGATGACAGTTGGTTCTTCTCACCTGTCCAGCTTCCAGAGGTGTTGCTGTGGTCAAAGGAGCAGAATGAGGAGAAGAGTCCCAACCTGACAGAGTTCACTCAACACTTCAACAGCGTCTCCTTCTGGTAAAACATCAACACAACCGGCAGATACACAACTTCCTTCGTCAAAGAAACACAATCTGTGACTCCATCAGGTTATTGTTTCCATCAGAATCGTGCTGGAGAAAGAGCATCAAAAGCCCACAGACCCCTCAGAAAATGCCTTTATGATGTTATTCTTGATGTTATTCTTTTATGCCATAATCACAATCGGCTTTCTGAAACCGGCACTGTAGCAATCACAATTACTGTCTGAAGGCAAGAGAAATGCCCGACACATTTACTTTCCCAGGTGGTTCATTACGGTTTGTGCCATACTGGTTGTCATAGTTTGTTTGACCTTTATTATTCATTTGTTTTACTTTCAAGTTATGTCAGTGCAAACAGACAGGAGCAGGGACGGGACAGGCAGAGAAGGAGAAGCTTCTGAAACTAATGAACCTTCTTTTTGTGATTTCAGGGTTCGTTCCGTCATCATCCTTCAGGACAAACCTCACGACAGAGAGAGGCTGCTGCTGAAGTTCCTGAAGATCATGAAGGTCGTTAGAGTCCGCAGTAGAAAAAGTCCTTTTGTCTCTTCATTTGTATTCAAAGCTGGCCCTCCAGTCGGGGAGGACAGCAGCTACACCAGAACTTATTAGACTGACAAACTGGAATAAAAAGATTTATTTTTACAAACTCACTGCATCATTACAACATCTGTGTGTCCATTTGTGGTTCCAGACTGTGGTCTGTTGTCATGTCATCTTGTCAAACCGCACATGTTCTTTTTTCCTGCAGCACCTGAGGAAGCTCAATAACTTTAACTCGTACCTGTCAATCCTGTCAGCGCTGGACTCCGCCCCTCTGCGACGCCTGGACTGGCAGAAAAGCACCTCAGAGGTCAGACCGAGTTCATTGGGATTATTTCATCGGTTCGCCTCAGTGCATTAACAGTGTTTTATGTCTGTTTGGCTTCAGGCTCTGGAGGAGTTCAGCACCTTGATCGACAGTTCATCCTCTTTCAGAGCCTACCGAGCAGCTCTGGCTGAAGTAGAGCCTCCCTGTATACCCTACCTGTACGTAAATACCCTACCTGTTGGGCAGTAACCCTAATGTAGAACGTGTCTATGTGATCAGCCTCACAGCAGCCACATTATTGCTCAGATAAAAGGCTCCAACAGCACAAACACAGTCCAGAGGTCCAGTTCAGGATCTCCAATTGGCTGAGGTTTAGCCTGGCTGGCAGCTACAGCCACCTGTGTCACCATTCACCTGTCAGTCAAAGAGGCCACGCCCCTAACAATACAATGTAAGCAGGCGTTATGAAGGAGGAAGCTATCCACAGACCAAACAGTTTGTGTATCTGGCTGTAAACATGTTTGTTTCTGCTGTAAAGTTTTAACATTGGAGTCTATGGGGACTGCCTCACTGCTGCCTCTGCTGGACGTCAGAGGAACTGCAGCTTCATGTTTCAGGTCTATTCAATTCAATTCAATTCAATTTTATTTATATAGCGCCAAATCACAACATAAGTCGCCTCAAGGCGCTTCATAGATACAGAGAAAAAAACCCAACAATCATATGACCCCCTATGAGCAGCACTTTGGCAACAGTGGGAAGGAAAAACTCCCTTTTAACAGGAAGAAACCTCCGGCAGAACCAGGCTCAGGGAGGGGCGGGGCCATCTGCTGTGATTGGTTGGGGTGAGAGAAGGAAGACAGGATAAAAGACATGCTGTGGAAGAGAGACAGAGGTTAATAACAGATATGATTCAATGCAGAGAGGTCTGTTAACACATAGTGAGTGAGAAAGGTGACTGGAAAGGAAAAACCCAATGCATCATGGGAATCCCTCGGCAGCCTACGTCTATTGCAGCATAACTAAGGGAGGATTCAGGGTCTGAAGGCTGATGCTTTGTCTGCCGTCTCTCTCTCTCTCTCAGGGGTTTGATTCTGCAGGACTTGACTTTTGTCCACCTTGGGAATCCCGACACTTTGATGACATCACAGGGTTCAAAGGTTAACTTCTCCAAACGCTGGCAGCAGTTTAACATCCTGGACACCCTGAGGAGCTACCAGCAAGTGTCAGTTACCTACAGAGCAGTTCCTCAATCATTAGGAGTACCTCGTGGTTGTATTGTTGTATGCTGAAGCTGTTTCTCTCTGCAGGAGCTACTCTCTGCTGCCCGATGATGACATCATTTCCTTCTTTAACGACTTCAGCGATCACCTGGCTGAGGAGGCGCTGTGGGAGCTCTCTCTCAAGATCCGCCCAAAGAACACTCCTCGAGCCAATCAGAGATGAGCTTTGGTGAAGGCGCAGAGGGTCACGCAGCTAATCGGCTGCACCTGTTCTGATGCTAACATGCTGTAACACAGAGAACTGAACCGGTGCCAAACCGGGGGCCGAGGCCCGAGAGCGTGACATTACTGGCACAGACACATGCAGGGTAAAACCTGCAGACATTTTACTACCGGACCTTTGCTATTTGCAGGCAGAGGTTTCCCTCCCTCGCTCCTGTTAACAGAAACATATTCAGATTCAGGTCCGGCACCCACAGATGGATCAGAGACTTCCAGATTTTGCTGAAGGAAGAAAAACTGCATCCAAACATCCATGAAACATCACTGCTGACCTGCCAGTCAACTCACCTGCCCTTACCTGATGGTGGAAACCTCACCTCAGCACCGTGTCTTCAAGGCCACAAAAATTAGTTAATCATTAAAGCTGATCCCACCTGACCATCTCGGGAATTCCAGTGGAAAGATTCCCTGCTTAGTAGGAATGATGCAAAATTTCAGCTCCTTTTAAGGGACGAGGGTCCGATTGTTTTAGATGTTTTTCTAGCACCGTTTTCTGATCTGTATTTAAACACATCACGCTCGGTCCTTCAGGTGTCCGAGAGTAACTGTGGGTCTGTGGGTCTGGACTCTGAGGGTGACTGTGGGTCTGTGGGTCTGGACTCTGAGGGTGACTGTGGGTCTACTCTGTGTCCTCTACTTTTTAATTCAGTTTTATTTATAAGGAGGCTCTGGAGGTCCCCACAGATGCACGTAAACCTGTATCAGTTCATCGACCTCAGACACACACCGTGTGGTTGAACTGAAGGCTTTGTTTCTATTGGCCACGTGAAGGTACGTTACAGCATGCAGGGGTCAAAGTTCAAGTCTGCGGCATGCGCGAGTACTCCGCTGCCGTGCTTGGTGCTTTGCTCGGCGTAGCGGTAAACCGTTATTGCGCTGCGTCCGGCCACACTTCGATGAACGCATCGAGAACAACCTTCAGTATCTTGGCACGCTGACTGGAGCAGCCAGGGATCAAACCATCATCTATGATTAGCAGATGACGTGCTCCACCTCCTGAGCTATGCCACCACCATCATGGATGATGATGAAGGAGGTGAGATCCTGTTGCTGGACTGAGGTGGAGCATGAAGGCAATCCATGAACTTGTGATGATGGTTCATGGTGTCTGAAGAACATCAGCCTGCAGCTGCATGCTGACGCGTTTGTAATGCGTGACAGTTTCAGCTGCTTTTAGAGAAGATTCAGTCGTGCTTTCTACAGACGTCCAGCTGCTACAGATCACACATCCTCCATCATCATCGTCAGTCTGAGCTCACCTGAGCTCCACATCCTCAGCAGCCAATTTACCCTCCAACACCTGAGCAGCGATGCTAAAACGTCTGAGGGTACAAGATGATTTCTCTAAACATACATGAATATGGAAAATCACCAGCTCACACAGTAACACTGTGGGGGTGTCACAGCTGGTCACATGATCTGTTTCCAACTCACAGCCACGGAGACGCCGTTCATCGTCCCACATCAAACACACCTGTACAGGAAACAGGAAGCATCATACAGACACACCTGTATGAATATTACACATGACTGATAAATATGTTCTTTATTTATTCTTTTTTTATTTTGCCCGTGTATATAACCAGCAGCAGCAGTGCGTCTGTTCACTTTAAATAACACAATCTTATTATAGCGCCGACCTGCCGACCATTCTCTGAATGACCAACTGATCGATGGTGAGCTGAACGAACGCCGATTAGAGCCACCGATTAATGAAACATTCATCTATAAGATGTGGTCCAGCGCTAACTTCATGGACTGTGGAGACTTTTTGTTTACATGTAATTTTGACAGAAATGAACAGTTGGCGTATTAAACAGCTGCATCAGATTCTGCTCATCATCAGCGCCTCCACAAGACGACAAAATACCGACGTGGGCAGGATCGAGAAACCCTCATTCACCTGGAAGCTGGCCCAAGAGGTCAAAGTTCACATTTCTTCACACCGCAATCGTTGCGACACCTCAGGTTCATCTGATTGACACGTGGTCGAGCAGGGGGTGGAGTCTGCAGCAGTGGCTCTCACCTCTTGGCTCAGAGAGCTGCAGGTGAGGTCGGCCGGGCGGCGGCACTGAACACTGACCGCCACAACATCTCCAAGACTCTGGACTGAAGGTCATCGAGGTCAAACTTTCAGAAAAAAGACTGATGAGATAAGTCTACATCAATCTGCATGATGAACAAAGTCACGAGATGGAAACAACGGTGTGATGAAAGCATGCTCACGTGGACGCTGCGCTCTCGTCACTGATGCTACGAACATGGTTACTGTTTGAATAAACGAGCTGTTTGTCAGGCTCAGGGAGGAAGACGGGATGAAGACATGCTGTGGAAGAGAGACAGATTAATAACAAGTATGATTCAGTGCAGAGAGGTCTGTTAGCACATAGTGAGTGAAGAAGAAACACCCAGTGCATCATGGGAATCCCCCGGCAGCCTACGTCTATTGCAGCATAACTAAGGGAGGATTCAGGGTCACCTGGTCCAGCCCTAACTATATGCTTTAGCAAAAAGGAAAGTTTGAAGCCTAATCTTGGGTTATTATAACGGTCTTTTTACTTGTCTCAACAAATCAGCTGTGGAACGCCTTCAGACTGCACAGACTTTTAACTGGCACAAACAAGAGGTCACACATTACTCCAGTTTTGACTTCTCTTCATTGGTTGCCAGGAAATTTTAGAGTTCATTTTAAAACTTTTGTCGTAACTTTTTGAGCTCTGCATGCTGAAGCTGCCCAGCGTATCTCTGAGCTGCTGAAGCCTCATGCTTCATCCCGAGCACTCGGGTCTTCAGGTCAGAGGTCACTGTTGGTCCCACGCACTGGGTTCAAACCCTGTGTGGGGATCGGTCTCCTCGGGCACCGAGGCTGTCGTCTTTACGCTGTGCACACTCCACTGTCTCCTTTAAAAAGCAGTTGAAGACATTTTTATACAAACAAGCTTTTAATCTTTTCACTGTTTTCTATTATTTTATTTATATTTCTGGATTTATTGTGAAGCACTTTGTGATTTTATTCTGTGAATTGTGCTATATAAATAAATTTTGGTCACCGTATTTTCCGCACTATAAGGCGCACCAGATTATAAGGCACATTAAGACAAACAGTCAGATAACTCGACCTTTATTAAGCTCATTCACAGTAACTCTTAACACTGTTAAGCTGTAACACATTAAATATTGAAGAATACACTCACTTTTTCCTGTACATTAACTTCCACAATTCCATCAAGTTCTTCACCTCCCGTGTCTGAGTTACGGTAAACAGCTGGGCAATTTCGGCATCAAGCATGCCCGGATCGCTCTCATCATTATCTGAATCAGTCTCGTTGCTGTTACTTAGCTGTTCAGTGATTATTCCAGCCTGAAAGCTCAGACGACACTTGAAACTGATACCTTAGCCCAAGCATCCACGATCCATTGGCAGGTAGTGGCGTAACTTGCTCCGCGTGGCCTCCCTGTCTTGGTGAATGTGTGCTCGCCTTCTGTCATCCAATGCTCCCACGCAGCTCGTAATTTAACTTTGAACAACCAATGGTTGGAGTTCTTTGGTTAATCCACCCGGAATGACGGCAAGCTCCAAATTAGTTTGCTTCACTTGGGTTTTGACAGCCTCGGTGAGATGGGCGCGCATGGAGTCGTAGATCAAAAGAGACGGAGATTTGTGGAAAAAGCCACCCGGTCTCTTGACATAAACTCAGCCACTCGCTCATCTTCTCCTCGTCCATCCAGCCCTTTGAGTTAGCCTTCACGATGACGCCGGCCGGAAACTTTTCTACTTTTCTTTTGCCAAAGTCTTCCTCTTGAAAATGACCATGGGTGGTAGTTTCTGGCCATTAGCTTGGCAGCCCAGAACTACAGTGGAGGATGACTTCTCGTTCCCTGTGGTGCATATAGATACCGTACTGGTGCCTGTTTTCTCAACAGTACGGTTCACGGGGATGTCAAAGGTGAGGAGGACCTCGTCCATGCTAGTGATGTGTTCTGGCCGGATCTTCTTTCCAGTGATCTCATTCTGGCAGTAGGTGCTGAAAATGGCCAACTTTTCTTTGGCAGTTGCTGTGAGACAGTAGTTCTTGTGCGGATTGAGAGATTATGCCTTTTCATAAAACGGAAGCACCAAGAAGGTCGCTCTCGAAAGTCGTTGATCTCCATGTCACGTGCTGCTGTAGCCTTGAGTCGAACAGAGACTGTAGAGACACTTCTGCCTGCTGTTCTCTGTTCAATAACCCACTGTTCAATTTTGTCCTCTGCCATCGCGCCGTGTTCCCTTGGAAACTCCTTTTGGTCTTCTTTACTTGTTTTAGGTCATCTTCGTGCTTCCTCCACTTGCGCACCATCGACTCATTAATGCCGAATTGCCTCGCAGCTGCTCTATTTCCATTTTCTACTGCATAACTGATTGTTTAAAATCCGCTTCGTAAGCATAACACGGTAATGTTGTGTTGAAGCACAGTACGTATTACTCCATGAGGCTCCTTGCAACGGTAACCGTAATGCTCCGAGAAAGTGGCACTAAAAGGTTTTTTTGACAGATTTTTGAGCATCGTGTACCACGTAAAATCGGTTCACGGTCAGGAAGCACAAAGCAAATTTCATACATAAGGCACACCAGATTATAAGGCGCACTGTCGATTTAAGGATTTTACGTGCACCTTATAGTACGGTAAATACGGTACTTACTAATCTTAAAAGTAGTGTCTGTCTCCTGAATCCAAACTGGAAGCTGGTTCCACAGAAGAGAGGCCTGAAAACTGAAGGCTCTGCCTGTCACGGCCCCTCCCCTCTGTGAACAGACTGCTGTGGGAGGGGCTTCAGTCGGCCTTTTATTACATCACTTCCAGGCAGAGCGACATTTGATGGTGGAGGTTTAGTGTTTTTGAGTGAACTTTAAAGAAGTCAGATTTAAGAGGAGTCAGAGACATTGGTTCATTGATTATTGACAATCGTATTATTAGTTTCATGTAAACACTGAGGACGAGCAGACTCCCCGGCTCCTGCTTCGTTTCCTGCTCTCAGCTGAGTGAGGTGGACCCTGTAGAGCAGCAGGGTCATGTGACACACCTCAGTCTGAGCACGTCCCAGAATCCCACCCACCCGCTCACCTGTGCCGATGTCACAGCGGCTCGCGGTCTGTTTTCCCAGCATGCATCATTCACAGACACAGAACTTCAGCTGTAATGACTTCAGGTAAAACCACCTGCTGCCCCCTGCTGCCCCCTGCTGGCCGGAGCCTCCATTACAGTCTGCAGAGTCAGCAAAGAAAAACTGAAATAAACGTTCGGAGTCTCAAAGGCATTCAAACATGAATAAAGCCCCGCCCCCTTACGGTCACCAGGACAGTCACCGTCACCTGACCTGAAACAAAATGCAAGTACTTAAAATAAATAAGTAATGTAACTTAATTTAGAATCAGTCCTACTAACTGACAAAGTTCATCTAACATTTTCTTCTATTTCAGTTCAACTCACCATTTCTAGTATTTTCCATATTGAGTACCTGCTACTTTAAAAGCATAATTTCATTTTGTCAAGTCATCTTTGGAAGGTTTTGATTTCAGGGAAAAATTTGAACATTAAAGATATTAGTCTTTAGTGTAACTGATTCAGGTGAGAAACACAAAACAGTGAAAGTAAAATGTCTTTCATCAGTTGCTCACAGGTTGTTGCAGTGACGTCATGCACAACAGTTAACTCATTATTTTTGGTTTTGCTTCTATTTCTTTTTGAAACTTTACACAAATATTTTAAACATTTGAAAAACTAAAAACTGTGCTTTTTTTTGGAAGTCGAATTTCCCAGAGGAACCCACCCGAGGGATTAATAAAGTTCTATCTTATCTTATCTTATCTTAACTACTTGACTAAAAACAACAAATTTACTGAATTCATTCAGCTAATAAGTTAGCGCAGCCACCTGACTACGCTAGCTGACCGAGTTCACAGGTGAGGCAGACTGCTCACTTTTTAAACCACGGACAGTGTTATTTTATTTTTCCTTTTTTGACACATGCTCTCTATTGTAAGCAGACACGATGACAACGTTTTTTAAATTTAAGGGGATAGAATGAAGATTGCAAAACTGGTAAAAACTGCTGTGAGTAATTGTTAGGTAAGTGACACGAGCTGGATCAGAGAAGCTACCCTTGAGTTACACGACCTGCACGTCTGCCTAATTAGACGTTTTACAAGAACGTCTAATTAGCAGAAACCAATGTGCCGGCCTCTTCACCCACTTCACTCACAAAGATGCTGGCAGGTCAAAACTTCCCTGAGAAGAGCCAGAACTATCACGAGTTCCTCCCGTCTCCCCCTTAGTGGGTTTTTCAAATGTTGTAACATGAGTGTGAAACACACCTCTGTGGACCAACGTGAAAGGAAAATGATTGGTTCAAGTCACTCAGGTCAATGCAGCCGTTTTATAGGATGTGAGCTGGCAAGAGCAGGGCTGTGATTGGTCAACCATGTGTAGAAATTAGAGAAGTGTGAAATCACTCATAAGTTGCGTATGTGTACGTGTGACATGTTCGCTTTATGTTCCATTACTGATAACTGAGTGATAATGTTTGTGATGGATTGTGAAAGTTGAATGTTTATACGTGTGTGTGTGTCTCCTGCTGCTGGGACTTCTTGATGGTTTTTACTAATAAGAAAAACAAACATAATAATACATTTTATTTGAAAGCGCCTTTCAGAACACTCAAGGACACTGTACAAGGTAGAATAATAAAAGGAACATAAACGCAAACAGTTTACACAATCATAAAAGCATAAGACATAAAACAAATTTAAAATAGCAGAGTGGAGAGGTTATGTGGGATAAGCTGTTTTGAACAAGTGAGTTTTGAGTTGGGACTTAAAGAGAGACAAGGAAGAGATATTTCTTAAATCAGGAGGTCGGGAATTCCAGAGTCGAGGAGCAGCTGAAAGCTCCCCATGGTGGCAAGACGGAGGGGACATAGAGAGAAAGGGAAGAAGTAGATCTGAGACACCGAGATGGGGCGGTGATCTGAACCAGGTCAGAGAGATATGGAGGAGAGAGATGATGAATAGCCTTAAATGTGTACAAGAGTATTTTGAAATTGATATGATATTTGACTGGAAGCCAATGAAGCTGCTGCAGGACAGGAGTGATGTGGTGGACAGAAGGGGTCCTGGAGATGATACGGGCAGCAGAGTTCTGGACGCGTTGGAGCTTGTGGATGGATGTTTGAGTAAGACCAAAAAGAAGTGAATTACAATAATCAATCCAGGAAGTAACAAGGCTGTGGACAAGAATGGCAGCAGCATGTGGGGAGAGGAAAGGACGGAGACGATTAATGTTGCGCAATTAAAAATATGCAGACCGAGTGTCGTT